ATTGCCCAGAGGGCAGTTCAGAGTTAACCACATTGCTGTGGGTCTGGAGTCACATGTCGGTCAGACCATGTAAGGATGGTAGTTACCTTCCCTTAAGAACATTAGTGAACCAGATGGGTATTTCCCCCAACAATCGGCAATGGATTCACAGTTATCATTAGACACTCAATTCCAGATATTTATTGAATTCCAATTCCACCATCTGCCGTGGCAGGATTCGAACCCGGGTCCCCAGAATATTGTCTGGGTCTCTGGATTAACAGTCCAGTGACAATACCACTAGACCATTGCCTCCCCAATAGTCCCTTAAAAGGAGGTCATGCCTTACAAATCTGTTAGAATTCTCTGAGAAGATATTGAGAGAGTAAGACAAAGGAGAGCCAATGGTTGTGAGCTATTTGAATTTCCAGAAGGCATTTGATAAGGTGCCGCACAGAAGGCTGCTAAATAGGATAAGGGCCCTTGGTGTGAGGGGCAAGGTACTGGCATGAATAGAGGGTTGGCTGACTGATAGAAGGTAGAAAGTGGGGATAAAGGGATCTTTTTCAGGATGGCTAGTGGAGATCGACAGGGGTCAGTGTTGGGACCATAACTATTCACATTATATATTAACGATCTGGACAAAGGAACTGAGGGCATTGCTGCCAACTTTGCTGATGACATGAAGAGAAATGAAGAAACAAGTAGTGAGGAGGCTGCAGAAGGATTTGCACAGGCTAAGAGAGGGGGGAAAGAAGTGTCAGATAGAATACAAGGTCGGAAATCACACAACACCAGGCTATAATCCAATAGGTTTATTTGGAGCATAGCCCCTTTGTCAGATGGAATACGATGTGAGAAAATGTGAGGTTATGCACTTTGGTAGGGAGAATCGAGTCATAGACTGTTTCCTAAATGGGGAAAGGCTACAGAAATCTGAAGCATAAAAGCACTTGGGAGTACTAGTTTAAGATTCTCTTAAGGTTAACATGCAGGTTCAGTCGGCAGTTAGGAAGGCAAATGCAATATTGGCTTTCATTTCCTCACTTCCAGAATTCTAGAATATAAGAGCAGGGATGTACTGCTGATACTGTATAACGCTCTGGTCAGACTGCATTTGGAATATTGTGAGCAGTTTTGGACCTTTCTAAGGAAGGATTTGCTGGCCTTGGAGATGTTCCAGAGGAGGTTTACAAGAATGATCCCAGGAATGAAGGGCTTGTCATATGAGGAGCAGTTGAGGATTCTGGGTTTGTACTCGGAGTTTAGAAAGATGAGGGAGGATCTGATTAAAACTGACAGAATACTGATAGGCCTGGATAGAGTGGAAACAGAGAAGTTGTATCCACTAATAAGAGACATTAGGACCTGAGGGCACAGAATCTGAGTGAAGGGGTAACCCTTTAGAACTGAGATGAGGAGGAATTTCTTCAGCCAGAGGGTGGTGAATCTGTGGAATTCATCGCTGCAAAACAGGTTGTGGAGGTCAAGTCATTGAGTGCATTTTAGACATAGATAGATAGGTTCTTGATTAGTAAGGGGATCAAGGGTTTCAAGGAGAAGGTCAAGAAGGCATACGGCATGCTTTCATTCATCGGACGGGGCATTGAGTACAAGAGTTGGCAGGTCATGTTACAGTTGTATAGGACTTTGGTTCGACCACATTTGGAATACTGCGTACAGTTCTGGTCGCCACATTACCAAAAGGATGTGGATGCTTTGGAGAGGGTGCAGAGGAGGTTCACCAGGATGTTGCCTGGTATGGAGGGCACTAGCTATGAGGAGAGGTTGAGTAGATTAGGATTATTTACATTAGAAAGACGGAGGTTGAGGGGGGACCTGATTGAGGTCTACAAAATCATGAGAGGTATAGACAGGGTGGATAGCAAGAAGCTTTTTCCCAGAGTGGGGGACTCAATTACTAGGGATCACGATTTCAAGGTGAGAGGGGAAAAGTTTACGTTCTTTACGCAGAGGGTGGTGGGTGCCTGGAATGCGTTGCCAGTGGAGGTGGTAGAGGCGGGCACGATGGCGTCATTTAAGATGTATCTAGACAGATACATGATTGGGCAGGGAGCAGAAGGATACAGATCCTTGGAAAATAGGCGACAGGTTTAGATAGAGTATCTGGGTCGGTGCAGGCTTGGAGGGCTGAAGGGCCTGTTCCTGTACTGTAATTTTCTTTGTTCTTTGTTCTTTGAGAAGGCAAGAGATTGGGGATGAGAAACTTATCAGCTGTGATTGAATGGGAGAGCAGATTTGAGGGGCTGAATAAAAACAGAAGTTGCTGGAAAAGCTCAGCAGATCTGGCAGCATCTGTGAAGAAACCAAGGAAGGGTCACTGGACCCAAAACATTAACTCTGATTTTTTCTTCACAAATGCTGCCAGACCTGCTGAGCTTTTCCAGCAACTTCTGTTTTTGTTCCTGATTTACAGCATCCGCAGTTCTTTAGGTTTTTATTTGATGGGCTGAATGGCCTATTTCTGCTCCTGTATCTTCCGACCCAGTGGTGACAATGTAATCGCTGTTGCTTCTTACCAAAATGCAAATGGTTCACTGAGGTGGGCGGGTGGTTGAGGGTTGGGGGTGGGGGTGCGGGGAGCGGAGTGGACATGATTGAGATGTGTAGAATTTTGAGCAGCATAGATGGGAAGAAACTTTTCCCCTTGATGAAGGGATGAATGACCAGAATCTATAGATTTAAGGTAAGGGGTGGAGATTTCATAGGAATGTGAGGAATAACATTTTCACCCAGAAGGTAGTGGGAATTTGGAACTCACTGCCTGTAGATGTGGTGGAAGCAGACATTTTCATAACATTTAAGAAGTATTTAGATGTGTCACTTGTGATGCAAGGCACACAAGGCTCTCGGCCAAGTGCTGGGATTAGAATAGTTAGGGGATTGTGGTTGGGGGTGCAGGTTTGACGGGCCAAAGGGCCTGGTTCTGTGCCCCAGGTATCTGTGACTCTTTCATCACCTGACCAGTAACCCTAAAGGCCTCAATTGGCTTCCACTGGGAAAAAAAACATCCTCTACCCTTCCTTACCTGACTTAATGGTCAGGAGTGAAGAAATTGACAGGGTCACCATCACACGTCCCACCCCCCAGGCCCCACTGTCTCCCAACATCCTCTAGCCAGGGGTGTTAGATTCTACCCAATCACAAACTCATCCTTAAATACACCTGTGCAGACTTTTAACCGCGCTCTCACTCACTCCTACAATTCGAAACCTCCACATTCCTTCAGTTTCAATCTCCTGCACATCCTCTGGTCTTAATTGTCCTGCATTCAATGGCTGTGCCTGACCCTCAGCTCTGAAATTCCCTCCCTAAATCCCTCTGCCTCTCATTCCACTGTTGAGTCGCACTTTATAAGACGACAACATAAGAATGAAAAGAATTAGAACTAGAACTAGGAGTAGACCATTCAGCCCCTCGAGCCTGCTCCTACATTTAATACAATCATGGCTAATCTCATCTCAGCCTCAACTTCTCTTTCCTGCTCACTGTCCATAACCCTTCAACCTGCTTCTAATTAAAAATCTGTCTATCTCCTCCTTAAATTTGCTCAATGTCCCAGCATGCACCACACTCTGTGGGAGTGAATTCCACAGATTCATGTCCCTTTGAGAGATGTAATTCCTCCACATCTTGGTTTTAAATCTGCCACCCCTTATCCTAAAGCTATGACCTCTCATTCTAGATTGTCCCACATGAGGAAACATCCTCTCTACGTCTACTTTATCAATCCCCTTCAGCATCTTACAGATCCAAATTAGATCTCCCCTCAGTCGTCTAAACTCCAGAGAATATAGGCCTGAACTGCTCAATCCTTCTTCATGAGATAAACCCTTCAATCTTGAATCAATCTCATGAACATAACCTCCTCATATTTGACAAAGCTATTGGTCATTCGTAGTACTTTCTCCTGGCTCACTGTGAAAGTTTGTAAGATTACAGACCTGTGAAGAACTTTGACACATTTCACTGTGTTATAGAGTACAATGTTGGTAAACGTGAAGTTATCCTTCTTGGTAGAAATAGCAGCAAAATGGACTATTATTTGAACAGTAAAAGATTGCAGCATGCTGCTGTGTAGAGGGACCTGGGTGTCCTTGTGCATGAATCACAAAAAGTTGGTTTGTAGGTGCAGCAGGTAATTAAGAAAGCAAGTAGAATATTGCCCTTCATTGCTAGAGGGATGGAGTTTAAAAACAGGGAGGTTATGCTGCAGCTGTGTAGGGTGCTGACGAGGCCACACCTGGAGTACTGTGTGCAGTTTTGGCCTCCTTACTTAAGAAAGGATGTACTGGCACTGGAGGGGGTGCAGAGGAGGTTCACTGGGTTGATTCTGGAGTTGAGAGGGTTGGCTTATGAGGACAGATTGAGTAGACTGGGGCTATACTCATTGGAATTTAGAAGAATGAGGGGGGATCTTACATAAACATATCAAATTATGAACGGAATAGATAAGATAGAAGCAGGGAGGTTGTTTCCACTGGAGGGTGAAACTAGAACAAGAGGGCATAGCCTCAAGGTTAGGGACAGCAGATTTAGGACTGAGCTGAGGAGGAACTTCTTCACCCAAAGGGTTATGAATTTGTGGAATTCCCTGCCCAGTGAAGCGGTTGATGCTATCTCATTGAATGTTTTTAAGGCAAAGATAGGTAAATTTTTGAAAAGTAAAGGAATTAAGGGTTGTGGTGAGAGGGTGGGTAAGTGGAACTGAGTGCATGAGAAGATCAGCCATGACCTTATTGAATGGCACAGCAGGCTCGAGGTACTAGATGGTCTACCCCTGCTCCTATTTCGTATGTTATGTTATGTTCTTATAGGTGCTATATGAATGCAGTTTCCAGCTGTTGACAAAATAGATGGAGAACAGGGGATCTTCAAAATTGGTGCGTGTGAGGCTGTATGCATTTCCCAAATACAGGTTCCAGATAAACAGGCAGAGATCAGACAGGTAAAGTTGCATAAAAACATCAAAGCTTTAATCAATATTCTATAGACCCATGAACAACTTTCTGTAATACTGACACACACACTTTATTTTAATCGTAACAGCATAAGCAAGGCTCCAGACCTTGTTTTAGGATTAATGTTGAAGACTATATTCGACATCAAGCACCCTTTTTCAAAAGTCTTTGCAGTCAGTAGCCGTGATTTAGGATCCCAGTCACACATTGTCAGAGCATTAACATGACATCTTTACACAGTTTAAAGTGGGGGAGATTCGGAACGTCTCTGTACTATTAAAACGGGGCAATGTTAGACATAGCTACGTGTGGGTAAAGGGTAGGGGGAAGTGGGAAGGAGTCTTCTCTGGCCATGGGGCGAGGGGAAGACTTGGCGGACGTTCCTTGAGATGCCAACTGCATTGGGCTCTCTCGCTGTCACACAGTGACACTGAGGTAATGTTCTGACACACTCAGCTGAGAGGGTCTGCAGCCTTTTGTGGCTGCTGAAGGTCATGACACGTTGATCCAGGAACATCCAGATGTTCTTTTACTTCCCCCGATGCGCGCACACACACACACACACACGCACACACGCACATGCACACACACGCGCGGGCACACACACACACACACACACACACACACACACACACACACACACACACACACACACACACACAGACACAGTGAACAAAATCCCCCTCTCCTACAACTCAATCGCTTTTTAATCCTCCTCTTTTCTTCATTTTCATTGGGACTTTATAGGTTTGTGCTTATCACTAAAAAAAATCAGTGCAAACTTCAAAGAACAGAATCTTAAAAAAAAGTGATACAGTAATAACCTTAAAAAAAAACTTTTTTGTGTCTTTTTTTTTCAATTTTTAATGGCTGCCTGATCAATTCACATATAGTACAACAGACCAATAAAAAAAAGACAATTACAGGATGTAAAGGTCAAAAAAAGAGTGAACTTTGTATATCAATGCAACAGAAATTATTTACACAAGAAATTGCTATCTCTCTCTCGGGCAGTGATGGCTAAATTGCTATTCATGTTTAGATTCTTCCCTGTCCAGTTTCTAATTTTTTTTTTGGAGGTGGGTGGGGAGAGGGGTAAGTAAAGGAAGAAAGGGGCCAGGGTGATGGGGTTGTGTAGGTGAATTGGGGGTGACGGAGGGGAATGAGAAGCAATGTATCAAAGAATGATGTTGTAGGACATGTGTGTGGCTGTGTTACCTTAGACTTTACATCACATTTACAGGTTTTGTCATAATACATTAAATAAGGGAGGAGGTTCATTGCACCATTTAAGTGTCATCGTGTCTGTGAGGCTAGGCTCGCTCTGCAGAACATCAGGAACAGAGCTCTTCACCACTCTGCAGGAAAAAGGAACAAATAGAGAGAAAATAACATCAGGGGAGATGCAGCACAAAACAGGTCCTTCAGCATATACCTGTTGCCCACTCTTGCATAAAACCATTGGATCAGTGTCACTGCCCTCTGTTGTAGCTCCCTCGTCTTGCAATGCCGTTTCACTTGTCAAATATACACTAAATTCCCTTTTGGAAGTCTCTATTCTCATCTCCGTACACACCTGTCCCCATTATACTGACCCTCCGTACCTCTGTGATTTATTCGCAGGATGATTCTCCCCAGTCCCTTTGACCAAAGCCTCCCCCTCGGGTAACAACTCCAAGAAAGAAATCAGCTGGTCATTCTTGCTTCCCACGTTGTGGGATCTTGCTGTACACAGTTGGGTACCATGTTTCCCACATTACAACAGTCACTCCACTTCAGAATGATTTCACTCAGGAGCTTGACACATGTTTCTTTACTATTCACTCACAAGGTGTGGGCATCACTAGCTGGGCCACCATTTATTGCCCATCCTCAGTTGCCTCTTGGGAAGGCGGTGGTGTGCTGCTGAAGTTCGCAGGGTTTAGATACATCCACTGTGCTGTTAGGTAGGAGTTCAGAAGATTTTGACCCAGCAACAGTGAAGGAACAGCAATATATTTCCAAGGCAGGATGGTGAATAGCTTGGAGGGTGACTTGCAGGGGGTGATGTTCCCATGTTTTTTTTTATATATATTCATGGGGTGTGGGTGTGGGTGTCACTAGTCAGGCCAGTGTTAATTGCCCAGAGGGCAATTAAAAATCAACCGCATTGCTGTGGGTCTGGAGTCTCATGGAGGCCAGACCAGGTAAGGATGACATTTTCCTTCCCTAAAGGGCATTAGGGAACCAGATGGGTTTTTCCAGCAATCAGCAATGGATTCACGGTCATCATTAGATTATTGACTCCAAATTTTTTTTAAAATTTAAGTTCAAATTCCATCACTTGCTGTGGTGGGACTCAAACCTGGTCTCCCAGAACATTACCTGGGTCTCTGGATTAACAGCTGAGTGGTAATACCACTAATACCACTAGGCCATCACCTCCCTTTGTCCTTTTCAATGGTGGAGGTTGTGGGATAGGCAAATGCTGTCAGAGGGGCCTCGGTGAGTTGCTGCAGCGCATCCTGTAGACAGTACACATTGCTGTTCCTGAGCGTTGGTGGTGGACGGAGAGAATGTTTGTGGATGTGGTACCAATCAAGCGAGCTGCTTTGTCCTGGATGGCGTCAAACTTCTTGAGTGTTGTTGGGGCTGCACTCATCCAGGCAACTGGGGAGTATTCCATCACACTCCTGACTTGTGCCTTGTAGATGGTGGACAGGCTTTGGAGAGTCAGGAGGTGTGTTACTCGCTGCAGTATTCCCAGCTTCTGACCTGGTCTTGCAGTCACAGTATTTATTTGGCCAGTCCAGTTGAGATTCTTGTCAATGGTAACCCCAGGATGTTTGATCGTGAAGGATTCAGTGATGGTAACACTGTGTGAAGTCATGGGGCGGTTTGATTTGGACTTGTTGGAGAGATCATTGTCTGGCACAATCATTGTGTGGTACAAGTGGAAATGCCTAACCAGAGAGTCAAAGGTTCTCAGGGTAGGCAGGAAGGTGGCATTGAGTGCACAAACTACATCTCCCCTAATTAATTTTTTACTGCGGCACAGATCTCCAGGTTCTGTATGCGGCAGTGAATTCCAGTTTTGGAAGTCAATTTGTGTGTGGCGTGTCTGGAACCTCTGAGCGGCTACAAACTCGCAAAGAGGGAGGGCTGGCGACAGTAAGATCAGCCATGATCAGAACTGTTCCACTGTTCTGAATGGCATAACAGGCTCGAGGGACCGAATGGTCCTGCTGCTAATTCATACGAGTTCAAGAAAGACATTGTCATAATTGTTATATCCTTCTTTAAACCGTCTTCAACCCTGCTACTATCTGAGATCTCTGCATTTATCTAGCACTGTCCTATTTCCATCACTCGAACAAAGACAAAATACTGCAGATTCTAGAAATCTGAAACACTTTCTCTTCCTGTCCCTGATAAACATGCTGTCTGTTGAACTGGGCTTTCTCCTCTTGAATTCCCTTCTTAAACCTTTTCACCTCTATATATCTCCTTCCTCCTCTCAAAGGCTCCTTAAAACCTAATCTCTCTCAACAAGCTTTAGGTCATGGGTCTCACACCTCTATATATTGTTCTGTGTGAAATTTGTGCCTGACAATTACTCCTGTGGAGTGGTTTGGGACTATTTATTAACTTCATGATGCAATGAAAGTTCAAGTGGGTATTGGCACAGGGAATTAGCACTTGGCTGTACCACCCTTTCAAGCAGATTTCCATATTGTACTAATTTAGGATTTAAATTAAAATTCTCCTCCTGTTGTTCCTGATGCTTTTGTCTGGAGTTTAAATTGAAATTCTATGCTCAGTGATCTTCCTCCAAGAGGGAACAGCTGAGATTTATTGGCCAGCTAAAATCAAAACCCTTTACAATTTGAAAACCCTGATTAAATCTCCTCTCACTTTCTCTGCTCCAATCTGAGCTTCTCTAGCCTGTCGCCATTTACTGAGATGGGAAGGCAATAGCCTAGTGGGTATTATTGATGGACTGTTAATCCAGAGACCCAGGTAATGTTCTGGGGACCTAGGTTCGATACCCCCAGTGGAAAATGTTGAAATTTGAATTCAATAAAAATCTGGAATTAAGAATCTAATGATGACCGTGAATCCATTGTTGATTGTTGGAAAAACCCATCTGGTTCACTAATGCCCTTTAGGGAAGGAAACTGCCATCCTTACCTGGTCTGGCCTACATGTGATTCTTAACTGCCCTCCAGACAATTAGGGATGGTAAGTAAATGCTGGCCTTGCCAGCGACACCCTCATCCCATGAATGAATTTTTAAAAAATCCTTCATTCTGACAAAGCACTTCTGTACCATGCCCAGGACCTGACAACCTGCTAAAACATGAGGCTAAACTGGTGACGTGTGAAGGCCGAGCAATGTTTACTGCTTTCTGCACCCGCTTTTCCCAAATTTGCAAGTTTTGCTGCATTTCCGTGACCCAGATACTTACATACATCCCCTAAAAACTGCCCTTGACCGCAAGATCCCATATATCCTACATCTGGAAGATCACTAATGTTCCGCTGATGACTTGCGATAGCTGGAGCCCCTCGTGAGGGCACACCTTTCCTGGGACCTGTCGAACCCTTCGATGAGGCTGTTCCAGATGAGCTGTGGCCACTGAGGTGACCTGGTGAGGGAAAGCTTGGCTTGCTGTATGGTATGAGCATTTCATCTAGAAAACACCGCAAACATATACTATCATTCGCACAGTAAGTTCAAACAGTATATTCATTTTATACTGAAGTGCACAGTGACAAATGCTGGAAGAACATTGAGAGACAATATATATTAGGGGGTTCTGTGATAGACAGGTTTTTAATCAGTAAGAGAATCACGGGTTATTGGAAAAAGGCAGGAAAGTGGAGTTTAGAATCATTTGATGAACCATGAATGGTGGAGCAGACTCGATGGGCTGAATGGCCTACAGCCGTACCGATGTCTTATTGAAGGGGTGCGGGGCGAGAGGGACTGGGGGTATCTGTGTGAACAGATCCCTGAAGGTAATAGGACAGGTGCAGACATCAATTAACAAAACATAACAAAGCATCCTCGGGGGCTTTATAAATAGGGACGTTGAGCAGAAGGAGGCAATTGTTAAATTTGTACAAGACACATGTCAGACCACAGCTGGAGTACTGTGTATAGTTGCGTGCACGACATTTTAGGGAAATATGTGAAGGCATCGGAGACAGAGCAGAAGCGATTTACAAGAGTGGTTCCAGAAATGAGAAACTTCAGTTATGAAGATAGATTGAAGAAGATGGGACTGTTTCACCTTGACAGGAATGAGGCTGAGATGAGATCTCATCAAAGTTTCCAAAATCATGATTGGGCTGGACAGCGTAGATAGGAAGAAATTATACTCACTTGTGAAAGGAGCAAGAATGATCATCGATGTAAAGCGCAATTTTCACTCAAGAGTTTGTTCAGGGTATGGAATATGTTGCCTGAGATATTCAAGATGGGCATTTTGATGATTATTTGGATGGAAATGGTGCATAGGGATATCAGAAGAAAGCAGAAAGCAGACGCCAAGATAATGATGCTCATTTGAAAAGTCAGTGCAAACATGATGGGCTGAATATCTTCCTTCTGCACCGTAACAATTCTATGATTCTATGAAAACACATCAGCCATTGCACTCTTCCCTCTGACTGAAACAATTGTGGGTTCAAGTTCCAGTGAGAGACCTGAGCTCAAAACACAAGAGAGTTTCTCAATATTGACACACTGAGTGTTGGGTGTTGAATGTGCAAAAGACTCAGATGGACAGGAATTTAAACTCCTAGTAATCAAAGGATTATGGGGAGGCCAGGCAGGAAAATGTGGCTAAGGCCACAAGTAGATCTCCCATGGCCTCAGTGAATGGTGGAACAGCTTTGAGGAGCTGACCAAATTCCTGTCCCTATTTTTAATGCACTGAGTTTTGGATGGACACTAAACTGAGACTGGAGGCCCTGGTTTAAGTCCCAACTGCACCAGGTGTGTGCATTAACATCTCTGAACAGGTTGATTTGTAAAATTTCTAAACCGAAACGGGGCCTATTCTTTCAGAATGACAAAGAATTCCCTGGCAACTATGTTATAGAGTCATAGAGATGCACAGCACTGAAACAGACCCTTCAAACCAACTTCTCCATGCCGACCAGATATCCTAAATTAATCTAGTCCCATTTGCCAGTATATGGCCCATATCCCCCTTCTTATTCAGACACCCATCCAGATGCCTTTTAAATGTTGAAATTGTACCAGCCTCCACCACTTCCTCTGGCAACTCATTCTGTACACACACCACCCTCTGTGTGAAAAAGTTGCCCCTTAGGTCTCTTTTAAATCATTCCCCTCTCACCTTAAACATATGCCCTCTAGTTTTGGACACCCCACCCTGGGCAAAATACCTTGCCATTACACTCTATCCATGCCCCTCATGATTTTATAAACCTCTATAAGGTTACTCCTTAGCCTGCGATGCTCCAGGGAAAATAGTCCCAGTCTATTCGGCCTCTCCTTGTAGCTCAATCCCTGCAACCCTGGCAACATCTTTGTAAATCTTTTCTGTACCCTTTTAAGTTTCACAATATCCTTCCTATAGCAGGGAGACCACAATTGCACACAATACTCCAAAATGTTGAAGAAAAGCAGGCCAGTACTCTCCAGCGTCACAGTCATTATTTATCCTGCGATCCAAATCACCTAAAACACATGCTCCAATCAACTCTCCCATTGGTGTATGAAGGAGTTTGCTATCTGAAAGTTACTTGATGCATTTCGAATCGAACCTGGGTCCCTGGCACTGTGAGGCAGCAGTGCTAACCACTCAGCCACTGTGCCAGCTGCCTATGTGCCACTCTCTGTCAGAGGGATGGTAATCTTTGAAATTTGCTTCCTCAGAGAGCAGAGGAAACTGAGGCATTGTACTGCAGGTATTATATTGGAATTTTGGAATATAATGTAGGGAAATGTGAGATTATGCACTTTGGCAGGAAGACTAGAGGAGCTGAATATTACTTAATTGGGGAAAGCTGCAGAAAGCTACAGATTAGAGAGTTTTGGGTGTTTCGTGCATAATCACAGAAAAGCAGGAAATAGGGAAGGCGAAGGGAATAGATACCATAGTGTAGAGCTGCTGGAACAAAGCAGGCCAGGCAGCATCAGAGCAGGAGGAAAGTTGACATTTTGGGTCAGGACTGACCCAAAACGTCAGCTTTCCTGCTCTTCTGAAGCTGCCTGGCCTGCTGTGTTCATCCAGCTCCACACCGTGTTATCTCAGACTCCAGTATTGGCAGTTCCTACTATCTCCAAGGCAAAGGGAATGTTGGCTTTTGTTTCAAGGGGATTGGAGTTTAAAAATAGTTCAAACAATACAAGGCACTAGTCAGACCACAAATGGAATACTGTGAACAGTTTTAGAACCCTTACCTATGGCATGATATACTGGCATTGGAGATATCCAGAGAAAGTTCATGTGGCTGATACCAGGCTAGAAAGATGGTCTTATGAAGGGAGGTCGAGTACATTGGGCCTGTACTCATTGGAATTTAGAAGAATGAGAGGTGACCTTATTGAAACACACACTAGATTCTTAGAGAACTTGATAAGGTCAATGTGGAAAGGTTGTTTCCCCTTGTGGGAGGTTCCAGGACCAGAGGGTATAATCTCAGAGTAAGGGGGTCACTCATTTAAGAGAGAGATGAGGAGGAATTTCTTCTCTCAGAGGGTGGTGAATCGTGGAATTCTTTACCGCAGAGGGTTGTCAAGGCAGTATCATTAAGTATATTCAAGGCTGAGATTGATAGATTTTAATCAGTAAGGGAATCAAGGGTTGTGGGGAAAAGGCAGGAAAGTGGAGTTGAGGATTATCAGATCAGCCATGATCTCCCTGAAAGGTGAAGCAGACATGATGGGCTGAATGGCCTCTTTTTGCTCCTATATTTAATGGTGTCAGGTGATAGATTATGTTCAAGGCAGAGCTGGACTGTTTATTTGGTTTGTTCAGGTGATGTGGGTGTCATCAATCTTCAAGGGAGTCAGGTGTTTTCAAGAGGGGCCAGGAAAGAGATCAGATGAGGCTTGAGGAGCTGAATAATCTCCAACTGCTCATGACCTTATTAAATCGGATACTGGTTACTCCTACCTGAGCCAAGCGTTGGCTTCTGTAGGAGCTTGCTCCGTGAATCTTCTTGGTACCCGTGGTCTACAGATGTCTTGGCCAGATGTTCCATGTTGTCTTCTAGGCTGGGCAGTTGTTGTTTCTCTAGAGAATCCACCATGCCCGTTCCTTTGGGTGCTTGCCCGGATTGCAACTTTGAACCTTGACATGGCGGAGGGTCAGGTGGAGGAGGCAGGTCTTCAGGAAATAAAAGGAAAAGAGGCAAGTCAAATACAGGCTGGGATATTCTACTGCTCTGACTTGCCTTCCACATTCATCAAGCTGAGGGGAATCAATGGTGGGGAACAGCAATCCTTCCAACCTGACCCCGTGCCAGGCAGGACTACAACAGTGCAGGGGCTGTACAGGACATTGGTTTAGCCACTTTTGGAATACTGCATGCAATTCTGATCTCCTTCCTATACGAAGGATGTTGTGAAACTTGAAAGGGTTCAGAAAAGATTGACAAGGATGTTGCCAGGGTTGGAGGGTTTGAGATACAGCGAGAGGCTGGATAGGCTGGGGCTATTTTTCCTGGAGCATCGGAGGCTGAGGGGTGGCCATATAGAGGTTTATAAAATCATGAGGGGCATGGATAGGGTGTATTGGCAAGGTATTTTCCCCAGGGTAGGGTGTCCAAAACTAGATGGCATAGGTTTAAGGTGAAAGGGGAATGATTTAAAAGAGACCTGAGGGGCAACTTTTTCACACAGAGGGTGCCAGAGGAAGTGGTGGAGGCTGGTACAATTTCAACATTTAAAAGGCATCTGGATGGGTGTCCTTCTGTAATGTGGTAACCAAAACTACACACAATACTCCAAATGCCTCCTAACAAGGGTTTTGTATAGCTGCAACATGTTTTGCCAACTCTTGTCCTCCATACCCGATGAAGGCAAACATGCCATGTGCCTTCTTAATCACTTTGGCCACCTGTGTTGCCACTTTTAGGGAACTGTGGACCTGCACGCTCAGATCCGTGTGAATGTTAATGTTCCTAAGGGTTCTGCTATTTACAGAATAAATCACACCTAAATTTGATCCTCCAAAATGCATCACCTCGCATCAACAATCTATCTATCTCAGCCTTAAATATACACAAGGGCTCTGCCTCACAGCTCTTTGTGGCAAGTTGTTCCAAATACCCACAACCCTCTGAGAGAATAAATTCCTTCTTATCTCAGTCTTAAATTGATGCCCCTTTGTTCTGACACTGTGTCCTCTGGTCCAAGACTCTCCCATGAGGGGAAACATTCTCTCAGCATTTACCCTGTCGCGATCCATAAGGACTTATGTTTCAACACCAACAACCCACATTTACATTGCACTGGTAACTGGAAACTGCTCCAAAACAATTCATGGAAACAGAGAAAATAGGAACAGGAGTAGGCCATTCGGCCCTTCAAGCCTGCTCCACCATTCAATATGATCATGGCTGATCATCAGACTCAGTCCCCTGTTCCTGCTTTCTCCCTTTGATCCCTTTAGCCCTAGGAACTATATCTAATTCCTTCTTGAAAACATTCAATGTTTTGGCCTCAATCGCTTTCTGTGGCAGAGAATTCCACAGGGTCCCCACTCTCTGGGTGAAGAAACATCTCATCTCAGTCTACCCTTGTCCTTAAACTGTGAAGCAACCTCCAGCAAAACTTGACAGCAGACTGCATAAGGAGGTCTTATGAAGAGTGACTGAAAGCTTGGTCAAGGAGCTTCATAGGAAGAGAGTGTGTTTGAGAAATGGAGAGATTTAGGGAGAGTATTCTATAATATGGAGTCCAGGGAGCTGAATGTATGGCTGAAGATGGTGCGATGAAAATGTGAGATGTTGGACAGGCTAGAATTGAAGGGCATTCACTCAACACATTTGACATGAAAGCCTATGACTGGAGTTTCCAACACTCTAGTTGGAGGTTGAGAGTTTTATCTTGTAAGTTGGACATAGAAGACTCTCAGTTGGCTGAGCCAGATCTGTGCTAAGCAAAATGTCCTGAGCTGCAACACTATTCTTCACATGCCTTCACTGCATAGTTTAGGCAGAACCTTCACTGCAGTATCTGAAGGGAGTGGAGACCGCTGGGCCAGGAACTCAGCTTTATTATAGTTAATCTGGGGGTGCTCAAAACCCAAGTCCAGCACATCTCTGTCACAAGAATCTCAGCAGCATTATAGCAGAGGAGGCCCTTTGGCCCATCGTGTCTGCACTGGGTCTTCAGCCAAGCATCATTACCTCGTGCCAATCCCTTGCATTGTCCCCCTATCCTTGCACACTATTACCATCCAACTGATCAATCATAGAATCCCTACAGTGTGGAAACAGGTCCTTCACCCCAACAAATCCACAGTGACCCTCAGAGCAACCCACCCAGACCCATCCCTCTATAACCCACCTAATCTACACATCCCTGAACACTACGGGCAATTTAGCATGGCCAATCCACCCTAACCTGTACGTCTTTGGACTGTGGGAGGAAACCGGAGCACCCGAAGGAAACCCACGCAGACACGGGGAGAATGTGCAAACTTCACACAGACAGTCGCCCGAGGGTGGAATCAAACCCGTGTCCCTGGTGCTGTGGGGCAGCAGTGCTAACCACTGAGCCACCGTGCCACCCGTTAATGATTGTCCAATACCCTCTTGAATGCTTCAATTGAGCCTGCCTCCACCCCACTTCCGTCAGTTGTTTCTGATACACTGCCAGAAACACTGGCATTTCCCTAATAATACCCAGGACCGCCGACTCCCTCATTTCCCATTCACACATACCCACTGCCTCCTCAATACTCATTCTGAACAGGGTTGTTTGAACAGAAGAAAGAAGGTTTATACTTTTCTAGAAGTGTCCACAGCTTTGCAGTCAATGCAGTCTTTTTGAAGCGTAGTGACTGCTGTAATATGGGAAAAGCAGCAGCCAATCAGCGCACAGCAAGCTCCCACAAACAGCAACGTGACAATCACCAGTTGGTTTTTTTTAATCATTTCAATGGAGAGATAAATATTGGTCCATGAGAATGTGGAGATCACCGCTGTGCTTATTATTGAGGTAGGAAGGGATAGGTCAATGGAATGTTACACAGACAAGGATAAGTGTATCATTGTGATGTTAATTGAAGGACAAATATCAGCTTGACACTAGAACGCAGAAGGAAAGAATGTAAGATTATAAGAACTAAAAACAGGAACTGAGCAAATTAACAATCATAACTGTTGAGCCGAGTACCCCCCGATGCCTTTCAAAGTAGTTACCACATGGTCTATAACTGAAAGGCTCGAGGCTTAATGACTCATTCAAACTCCACACTTCACCAAGGAAGGATTTGCTCAATATGGCTAGTTCCAGTAGAATGCTCGATTCCGCTGGAATGTGATATGTATCCACAACCTCCTCACCAAGAGCCCAGAGCTACATGCTGTGTCAGTCCTGCAAGGAATGGGGACAGTGCAGGAGTGTTATACCATATCTAACCTCCTGCTCTCCCTGTCCCGCAAGTACTTGATGGAGATATCGTAGAAAGATCTTTACTCTGTATCTAACCCCATGCTGTCCTGTGCTGGGAGTGTTTGACAGGGACAGTGTAGAGGAGAGTAAAGAGATCTGTACTTTCAGATTACAAGAGTTGAGAAAGCTTTACTTTGTATCTAACTCCATGCAATCCTTGTTCTGAGAGTATTTGATGAGGACAGTGCGGAGTAATTTTTGTTTTTCATTCAAAAGTGTAGAGAGAGCTTTACTTTCCATTTATCAGAGTGGAGGTTTACTGTTTGAAAGCTTAAAAGAGTAGATGAAGTTTTACGAGACAACAAGGTGCAGAGCTGGATGAACACAGCAGGCCAAGCAGCATCATAGGAGCAGAAAGGCTGACGTTTCAGGCCTAGACCCTTCATCAGAAATGGAGGAGGGGAAGAGGGTTCTGAAATAAATAGGGAGAGAGGGGGAGGCGGATAGAAGATGGATAGAGGAGAAGATAGGTGGAGAGGAAACAGACAGGTCGAAGAGGCGGGGATGGAGCCAGTAAAGGTTGAGTGTAGGTGGGGAGTTAGGAAGGGGATAGGTCAGTCCAGGGAGGACAGGCAGGTCAGGGGGGCGGGATGAGGTTAGTAGGTAGGAGATGGGGGTGCGGCTTGAGGTGGGAGGAGGGAATAGGTGGGAGGAAGAACAGGTTAGGGAGGTGGGGACGAGCTGGGCTGGTTTTGGGATGCGGTAGGGGGAGGGGAGATTTTGAAGCTTGTGAAATCCACATTGATACCAACAACTGCACCTCCCAGTCCCAAACGATTTCAACTCCCCCTCCCATTCCTCAGACGACATCTCCATCCTGGGCCTCCTGCAGTGCCATAACGATGCCACCCGAAGCTTGCAGGAACAGCAACTCATATTCCGCTTGGGAACCCTGCAGCCCAATGCTATCAATGTGGATTTCACAAGCTTCAAAATCTCCCCTCCCCCTACCGCATCCCAAAACCAGCCCAGCTCGTCCCCGCCTCCCTAACCTGTTCTTCCTCCCACCTATCCCCTCCTCCCACCTCAAGCCGCACCCCCATCTCCTACCTACTAACCTCATCCCGCTCCCTTGACCTGTCCGTCCTCCCTGAACTGACCTATCCTCTCCCTACCTCTCCACCTACACTCAACCTTTACTGGCTCCATCCCCGCCTCTTTGATCTGTTTGTTTCCTCTCCACCTATATTCTCCTCTATCCATCTTCTATCCGCCTCCCCCTCTCTCCCTATTTATTTCAGAACCCCCTTCCCCTCCCCCATTTCTGATGAAGGGTCTAGGCCTGAAACGTCAGCCTTTCTGCTCCTATGATGCTGCTTAGCCTGCTGTGTTCATCCAGCCCTGCACCTTGTTGTCTCGGATTCTCCAGCATCTGCAGTTCCTACTATCTCAGATGAAGTTTTACTCTGTATCTAAGCCATGGTGTATCTGTCCTGTGAGTGTTTGATGGAGACAGTTTGAGGGACATTTACTTTCTGTTTAAAAAAGGTGTTTTCCTCTGTCTCTAACCCCGTTCTCTTCCTGTCATGGGGGTGTATGATGGGAATAGTTTTGAGAGAGCTTTACTTTCAGGTTAAGAGTGGAGGGAGTTTCACTCTGTAAGTACTTTTGTACAAGTGAAAGGTGTATTGAAAGGACATCTGGATACGGATAGCAGAATCATTTTTAATAATGACCATTTCTCAGGTTTCTGAGAAAATATGT